ATAGTTCCAACAGCGGAAAGATTATAGAAATATTTTATTTCTGCGATTTGTTTCCGAGATTAGCAATCATTCAATAAATCAAAAATTATAAATTGAAGCCAGACTTGAAAAAAGATTTATGTTTAAGAATTAAGTCCATGATATGTAAAATATTAAGAGTTTATTACATTCAGTAATGTTAAATATAATTTGCGAGTGTACTTGATTCGAACTTAAATTTAATGAATATAGTGTACTTTGCCGGTAGAGCAAAAAGAGATTAGATTAGTTTTGTTTGGTAAAATTGGCCAAGGAAGAAAAGAGATAGGAGGATGGTGTAGATGTGATATAAATATGTTTGAAGGTGGGGGTGGTAGCTGTTGTATCTTATCTATCTATAACCATTCATCTAACACTTTCTCTCTCCTCTGTTATCTGCCAATCTGGTTGTTTAATGAGCACTATGATTCCGATGATTTATAAATGTTTATAATCCACGATCATAGGTAAAACAAACTCGCTTAAAGTAAGGCAATTGCGAGAGGCTTATTTAGTGGGATTTCTTAGCAACACTACATGATGGTGTGTGTTCTTTTTACTGGTCGGGCTTGTACTACTTAAAATCCTGGTTCGATTTCAGGGTAAAAATAGCAAATAACAATTTACAAGATAAACAAACATAGATCTAAATTGTATGATAAATTGATAAATTGATACATCATTAAATTAATAATTCATTTTTTGGGATATAACCACCCCTAAACCAAGCCAACCATTTAAAACCACGCAGGTAGAGAAAAGATAGAAATCCAAGCACTAGATACAACTGGTGTATATAAAGGTTTTCTAAAAAGGCATTCATGAAACAATAATACATCATTAAATCATAATATTTTGTTTGCTAGTTGTCATTTGTCATGTAAAAAAGTCGGCAATAATATAAAACNAATATAATGTTCTGTTAATCTACATACAGTGTCCGAATTTAATGAATATAATGTTCTGTTAGTCTACGTACAGTGTCCGAATTTAATTAATATAATGTACTATTAATCTACATACAGTGTTCGAATTTAATGAATATAATGTACTGTTAATCTTCATACAGTGTCCGAATTTAATGAATATAATGTACTGTTAATCTACATACAGCGTCTGAATTTAATGAATATAATGTTCTGTTAATCTACATACAGTGTCCGAATTTAATGAATATAACGTACTGTTAGTCCACGTATAGTGTCTGAATTTAATGAATATAATGTACTGTTAATCTACATACAGTGTCCGAATTTAATGAATAAAATTAACAAATCTAATGCTTAATAAAATAACACTTAAAATCATAAATAATAATGATTTAAAATAAATAATAAGCTTTATTTTTCACTTTTATACAGTTTCAAATGAGCATTTTATGTTTAGATGTAGATTGTTTAATAAATTCATTCATTGGTCGACGAATATATCAAATTAATGAATACGACTTTTATTAATAATGTTTTAATCCCTAACGAGGGTTGTTTAAAAGCAAGTTTACTTGTAAACAAAGAGAAGCTGTAAATTAACAATTTCTCTTTGTTTACACATCTATTCGTTTCTGCTGTTTGAAAGATATGGAATAGAAATAAAATAGAAAGTCGTCTTTATTGTATTGATAAATCATATGATTTCTTGGTGGCATATGATGACATTTAAAGTTGTTGGAGATATAATAGTAGAATCCGTAAAACTATGGAACAGGAACTGGAATAAAACATTTCAGTAATTATATGTGTATTTGAATTTTGATGTTAATAGAGATGGGACCCATTTGAATGTATAATAAAAAGACGACATTTAAGCCTTCTTTAATGTATTAGATTTTGTTGGAAAGCAAATGGTTTACCCGTAGCTAACAATTAAGTTATATGTGTCTATGTACACTGCACAATTATTTCTCTATTCCACCTTGAATGGGTCTCACTGTAAGATAATTACAAATTATCATATTTCTTTTAATTTAGTTAAGTTATATAACAATTATCCCATACCACTTTCAACTTAAAATTATTTGATTTTTGAAGTGTAATCTAACGGATATTTTGTAACAATCTTATTGTGTTAAATGCGGTGCAGACAGTATGGTAGAGTGTAGGAAGGTTGAAAGGCTTTCCACTAATTTAAAATTATCCAAAATAACTAACTTCTTCTTTTTAAAGTAAATTTTCTTCAAATCCATCTCTTTTTCCTGTTTTGCAAGAGAATTCCGTATATTTTTTTCATATATTTTTTCCTTTTTAACAGAGTAAATTCCGTCCGAATTCATCTTTTTTTCTTTGTACTAGAGTAGTAATTTCTGTCCGATTTCATCTTTTTTCCTTTTTACTAGAGTAGTAATTTCTGTCCGAATTCATCTATTTTTTCCTTTTTACTAGAGCAGTAATTTCGGTCCGAATTCATCTTTTTTCCTTTTTACTACAGTAAAACCCTTAATAACGAATACATCGGAAGAATCTATCAAATGTCGTCTTGACAATTTTTCAATTGGTTTTATGCTATATTACGTAAATTTCAGTATTTGCGAAAATAAATAAATAGCCATGAATATGCTGGAACAGTTTTAAAGAGTTCCATATAATCATTTAATTAAAAAAACTAAATATCTGCAACATTCCATTATCAGAAAGTGAAGAATACGACATTTGATGAATTCTTTCGATGTATTTGTTATTAAGGGTTTCACTGTAGAGTAGTAATTTCTGTCCGAATTCATCATTTTTCCTTTTTACTAGAGTAGTAATTTCTGTCCGGATTCATCTTTTTTCCTTTTTACTGGAGTACTAATTTCTGTCCGGATTCATCTTTTTTCCTTTTTACTAGAGTAAATTCCGGCTGAATTCATCTTTTTTCCTTTTTATTAGAGTAAATTCTGTCCGAATTCATCTTTTTTCCTTTTTACTAGAGTAATTTCTGTCCGAATTCATCTTTTTTTCTTTTTACTAGAGTAATTTCTNTTTCCTTTTTACTAGAGTAAATTCCGGCCGAATTAATCTTTTTTCCTTTTTATTTTGAGTAAATTCTGTCCGAATTCATCTTTTTTTCCTTTTTACTAGAGTAATTTCTGTCCGAATTCATCATTTTTCCTTTTTATTAGAGTAAATTCTGTCCGAATTCATCTTTTTTCCTTTTTACTAGAGTAATTTCTGTCCGAATTCATCTTTTTTTCCTTTTTACTAGAGTAAATTCCGTCAAAATTCATCTCTTTTCCCTTCTAATTAAAGTAAATTCTGTCCAAGCTCATCTTTTTTTAAACTAAATTTCGTCATAATTTATGTCTTTTCCCTTTTAATTAAAGTAAATTCCGTCCTGTAATACAATTTTAAGATTGCATTCCCATCTAATAAATCTGTTTATTTCAATAAAAGTTTATTCCATTTCAATCTTATTTTTCTCTATTATTCATTTGCTGGAGTGCTTCCTGGCAATCTGCCAGCTATAGACTTATCATCCCTGCATACTACCCATCATAGTATTTAGTTTACACCGTACCTACAAGTAGTCAACATATTTATTGTTTGTTTTTTTTCTCTAATAACACAACTTATCAACTTTCTTTAATTATGCTTTAAAAAGAATCTAATACGTTTTTGAAATTTATTACCGCATTGTTTAAGATTTATGAGTAACATTTGAATTAAACAAACAATCTTATCTTTCTAACTTCGAATATAATTTAGGATTGTGAATTGTCAGAGTTAAACTTTTCTGGAATATGAACTTTTAAAAAAAATTTTAAATTAAGTCCTTTGAAAAACATCAAAATTGTTCGAATCATTCCGTTCGATGTTTTGAAATTGATCACACATTATTTTATTTGTTTAACTGACAAATTAAAAACAAATACAACTCCCATCCCTATTTACATTTCAACAGTCAACAATATAGTTCTTCAGAGAAGCCGATTAATCAGATTCATAAAATTTTGCTTCAAAAAGAAATTTAAAAAAATCAACTATGTAGAATAATCTTAATTTTTTTTACTTATGTCAATTTAAAAAAACTGTTTGTCATTCAATTTTGTATCTAAATATCTTTCTTTTAGTTCAATTGAACAGTTTGCGTTGAACTGCTGATGAAAGAACACATGTGATTATCCTCTGTAAATTAGTCAAATACACCGCTTAGCAAACATAAACCCGGAAAATACGAGTTCTGAATAATACAGCTGTCTTTACTTAGCTTTATAGAAAATACAGTGGACCAGAAAAAAAAGTTTCCGGCAGAGTCTCGTAGTTTGACTTTAGTGTGTGTCCTGGGTAGTAGATTAGATTAAATAAATTTAGCTTGTGTAAATCCCACGAAACATTACTGTACTGTACTGTACTGTACTAATCCCACGAAACATTACTGTACTGTACTGTACTGTACTGTACTGTACTGTACTGTACTGTACTGTACTGTACTGTACTGTACTGTACTGTACTGTACTGTACTGGACTGTACTGTACTGTACTGTACTGTACTGTACTGTACTGTACTGTACAGTACTGTACTGTACTGTACTGTACTGTACTGTACTGTACTGTGTAAATCCCACGAAACATTACATGATCTTTAAAATAATGTACTGCATAAGCATTTACTTGGAAACAAAATTATAGAAGTAATATTTTAGAGTTTTACTAGACTTCGATTTTGACAATCTTAGTTTCATTTAATAGAATTGAAATCTGAACAAAATTCTCTAAATATCCGGAAATATTGACAGCACAAAAAAGAAAGACCACATTTTAATTTCCCAGGACTAGGAGAAAAAGGCTGACGACTGAATGTCTCAAATAAATTCAAAGATAGAAGACGACTTTCAAATCATCTTGCTCCAGTTATGTATCGTTGAACACCCTGTACATAACACAAAGCAAGTGTGTAATGAACACACAACAAAGTTAGAAATTGTTAAGTTAGAAACCCGACGATATCTTACCTTATTGTAACTTTTACAGTTCCTTTATATATAACAAGGAACAAAGACGATAAATTTTCTGTATTTGTGTTTATAGATTTAAATTTGGGGTAAAACTATGGCTGGGGCTATAGAGGAAGCGGCTAAAAAATTCCTGGTTGAAGCTAAATATGAAAAGGTAAAAATCTGTTTTAATTAAGTACTAGCTGAAGTACCCGGCGTTGCCCGTGAATTTTTTATTTTATTTTAAATGTTGAAAAAATTAAAAATTTCCATCCCCGGGATACCCCTTGGTTCCCTTAACAAAAATCAGACAATTTGATCCAGCCGTTTGGCAGCTAAAGCTTACATATAAATGTATTCGTTTGGCAGCTATAGCTTACATATAAATGTATCCGTTTGGCAGCTATAGCTAACATATAAATGTATTCGTTTGGCAGCTATCTAGCTTACATATAAATGTATCCGTTTGGCAGCTATAGCTTACATATAAATGTATATATATATACTAGATTGGTAACCCAGCGCTGCCAAGGTTACTTGAAGTTACTCCCGCTATTTAAGCCGACCCACTCAAACTCAAATCTTTAAACCAAGCAAAGAACATTCCCGTGGGTCTCCCGAGTTCCCCAATACAAATATGAGGCAAATCGGTCAAGGGGGTTCCTGAGTTATGATCGGACAAACAAACAGACATACATAGATATAGAAAGATGCCTAACTACTCTGCACATATGTTTAAAGTCTAATGTTTACTAACTCAATTCTTTATTTTTCGTATTTTTAATGACTCCTCCCAGCCCCCTAAATAGTTCAATGAACATTAGACAAAGCAATGTAGAGTGTAAATAGACCCTCTTCACGTAAATTGTACTTTTCTAAGTTACTAGTAATAATATTTGCTTTGTAACAACATCAAAACGCTGAAGAATTGTTATAATGTCGTCTTTATATTCCATTGTTTTCTGGTTATTACTGAATGAGAAAACAATTTTAAAAGGTATTTCAGTTCAGGTCATTTATTCAATACTATTTTCTTTTATCCCTTGATGCTTTTATTTCATATCATGAATAGAGTCTGTTACACTCTACAATTTCTGTATCTTATGCTCATTGAACTTTTTGAAATAAAAACTTTATTTTAAAAGTCGTCTTCATATTTCAAAGTTTTCTGTTTATCATTGTACCACTGTATAAATGTCACTTTAATTAGGTCTGCAATCCATATTAAGAAGTAGAAACTATGATAATGATTCCAAATAAACAAAATAACCTTTGTATTGTGATTGTGATTTTTGTTCCAGGTTTTTAAACACACATTTGATGTGATAGAAGATTATTTAAACAGTGCTCTTCTAGCTGTTGGAGCAATTGCTCTCTCTGTCAGGTAAATCTCAAGAAATAATTGATAATATTTTATTGACTTTAGAGTGAATTTTGAAACCGTGTTTTTGAGGGTCTTCTCAATCCCTGTTTAGTGTTTACTCTTTTCAAAATCTTCCTCTTTATTAATTATTGTCTAAAATTTACCATTCGTTAACATTTAGGCCATTTACTTTTTTTAATTTGATTGTTAAAGATGAATGGATAGGGTCAGAGAGTCTTTTCTGTCTTGTATGTCTGTCTGTTTTTCTGTTTGTGTTCAATAAACGTGAAAACTGAAACACCGATCAGACCCAAATTTTTTCGCGTGACCCAAGGAAAGGTTTATGGATGATCGAAGTTTCAAAAGTTTACCTCTAACAAAATTCGATTTTTGAAAATTTTGAAACTCCACAAATTTTTTTTATAAAATCCATAAAATTTTTTGTTTGATTTTGTTCTACAATATATACAAAGCGAACATGTTCTCAATGGAAATAGAAGATGGGCGCGAAGCGCCCTAAAAGCTTAGTATTAACAATTTGGACTCGTTTTATGTGATTATCGTTAACAAGGAACGGGTGTTTTCTCTCACCCGAATACAGTTTGTTCTTCATTTATTTATGCATGATCGTTTCAGTTTCTTTATGAACAAACGAAACGATCAAATCCCGGTAAACTATCGAGAGAAAAAAATAGTGTCCTTCGTTAATAGTGCCCCCTCCTATCAATTTGTTATGATTCATTTATAAAAATAGTTGATCTACAGTGAGAACCAGAAAACTCTGGAATTGGAAGGTGATTTTTAGACTTAAATCATGACTTGAATATGAGAAACAGCAATTGTTGAGTGTAAACAGACCCATTTCATTTAAAACGAGATTTAATGAGTTACTAGTAAAACTATTTGCTTTGTAACAGCATCAAATACACTTAAGAATTGAATGTCGTCTTTATATTTAACAGTTTTCTGATTCTCACTGTAATTTAGCATGTTTTATAAATCTAACTCTTTATTTAGATTTCTGTCTGCCATGGGAACAGGAGATTCGGTTTGTGTACTCTTAGGTAATAAAGAGAATGTAGAAACTCGTAGTTGGATGACGACATTTTATGTCCTAAGTGTTTTAGAATAATTTTGCGTGGCCCTTAAAATCTGTTTGTACTTAGGTGTACTTAGTGTACAGTACTAAATTAATTTGTTTACAATCTTTATTCTGCTAAGATGAAATTACAAAACACAAACCAAATAATACCGTATTGCCCAACTAGTCATCTTTATTCCGTCTGTTCTACTTAAGTATTTATTTACTTTTATGTGGTTTTCAGTAATCCTTCATGCATTTTAACTTACTTATTATCTTACTGCTGGAGATAAAGATGATAACATTCTATTTCCCAATCCTAACTCTATAGCTATATTTAGGTGTTCAGTTTAAGAAAGCTACTGCTGGAGATAAAGATGATAACATACTATTTCCCTATCCTAGCTCTATAGCTGTATCTAGGTGTTCAGTATGAGAACGCTACTGCTGGAGATAAAGATGATAACATACTATTTCCCTATCCTAGCTCAATAGCTGTAGCTCTAACTAACTATGCGAACTTCCATGAGGATTGTGTGAATGCCTCTGTTACAATATTTATGCAGTGGGCTCCATATGTCATCCTTATTGAGGTAATTTCACAGAAAAACTTTTATTTCTTCCCCTTAAATAAAAATGTATTGAATCTGTTTTTTTCTCAATGCATCACAAAATTTTTTTTTTTTTTTAAGTTTGATTGTTGACAAGCTTTTTTTTTGAATTTCAAGTTTACATTTAATCAAAGAGAAGCTTTTTAAATGATACATTCGATCTCTTAACTTCTATGTTTTTGTGTATTTAAAAGTTGTCTTCATTGTACTGATATAACTGCCTACCACTTAATATTATCAAAATTTTAAGAGATATTGAGATTAGAAGGATATTTTTCAAAACCTTTCACAGTTTTGATATGAAAAATGATCAACGCATAAATAAAATGTTATTTAGCAGTGTGGAAAAATTGTATTCAATTTTTATAATAATATTTTTAGGTTGCTTTGCGCCCATTTTCCATTTCAACTTTTAACTGTGGCTTTATTTGTGAGCATCTTCTCAGTTATAAAACAAAAACAAGAAAAAAGTTTGCGGATTCATGATATTTTTAAAAAAAAACTTTTAAATACTTATTTTTGAAATTTTGATCATTCATAAACTTTCCCTGGGGTCACGTGAGGTCCCACAAAAAATGTGGGCCCAATTAGTTCAGCCATTTTGACGTTTATTGGATACAAACAAACTGACACCCAGATATATGTATAGATGAGTTTATATAGACCCTTTTAATGATAATGGTTGAGAAAATGTTCCTGAAGATGCCTCGTGTTGCTGGAAGAATTGAGAGATTCTACAATAATATCATAGAAGGTAAAATTTAACAATATTGAGCAAAGCATCTAAATATTTAATATTTAGAGTCTCTGTTTGGAAAGGATCCTGATGTTGCAGAGGATGTATCAGATGACAAGGTTTAATAGATTTTAACAAATTTTGTATAAGTTTTCATTATATTGCTAATAATAATAATAATAATAATAATAATAAAAGCATTCATGATTAAAGGCATAGAAAAAAGCAAATGATATCAAGATTAAGTCATTTAATGTTAGCATTATAGCACTGATGTTATTTGGTTTGCGGGGTACTATACTATATTTATGACGCTCTAATTTGTTGTTCTTCAGTAGGATTTTAGCTTACTAGTGAAATGATGTTTTCTCTTTAAGAGATAAAAAGGCCCTCTTAAGTTCCTTATTTTATACAAATTAAAAAGTTTGGCTGGAAAATTTTTTAATTTACTTGATTCTTTAGATCCATAAATGTTAATAGAAAACATTTGCAACATTTTGAGTTTTGCAATTATGAAGAAAAAAAGCGGTTGTATAAGCAACATTTAAACACTAAAATTGTGCTTGAAAGAGGGATTTGAAGTCCTAGTATGGAAAATGTGTACACAATCAACTTTCTAAAAGAGAAAAAATCGTTCTAAAATCATTCTAAAATACAGCTAAACTACCTTTGTTTAGTATAAAAGTATAGTATAAAAGTTAAAACAAAGTAAAGGCAAATATTACTTAGAGCCAACTGCCAAGTGCACTGGAAGCAAATTATTTCTTTCTCAAATGACAAGTACCAACATTCAGTAAAAGCAAATATATTTATTTCAAGTCAAACACTGAAGCGATATCAAGAAAAAGACGCAGGAATGAGGTAAAGTAAGAAAATTTTACATTTCCCTCAATGTTTTTCACAGTTAGATTTTTAGGTGTGCATGTCATTGAAAAGATCAAGTATTATCCACCAGTCCTATGTGCTCAAAAACGTCATAGAGATCTTTATGTTGGGGCTATTTATTCCATTTAATATCTATTTCTCATTTGAGGTCAGTATATATTTACAAAAACTAAATATATTGAAAAAGGGTCGTGATCTAAAAAATTTTATTCAGGCCGAAGTAAATCGAAAACCAAGTCTATGTGAGCTTGACATGCTTGAACTGCCTGTTCTTGGATTCTCAAATGGTGTAGTACATTTCCAGTGCATGGGAAAGAAAGTTCAGTTCTTCATAATCATGGTCTTTGTTCAAGTGGCCTTTCAGGTAAAAATTACATAATCAAAATTTATACATATTAAAATATCTAAGTATATATATATTTACTTGTTAACTTCATAGCGACTGGACCAAACTGGCTGAAATATTTTAAGGGAACTCATGGGTACCTTAGGAGTAACATAGGCTCAAAATAATAAACAATTTTTTAAAAATCAAAATTAGATTTATTTTTAAATTCCACGGGCAATGGCAGGCACTTTCACAGTATTTGCCATTAGGAGAAGACAGTTTGTTCATTGATAAATTTTATATTTCAATTGCATCATTTAATATTCTGTCAATTGTAAGTGTTTTATTGATTTATTTATCAGATTGGTGTTATATTTACATGCATTGGATCCCTGATTTGGTGTCTCTTCTTCAGAAGTATCTCTAGGATGCTCAAAAAAATTCAGCAGGACGTCAGTTATAAGGAACTCACTTGAAAACATCAAAAACATAATTCAATGGATAACATACAAACTTGTTGTGTTATGGATAATCCATACAAATTTGTTGTGTTATGGATAATCTTTTATTCTTTAAACATATTTGATGTAAATGTATTCAAGGATTTAGAGCCTGTTGGAGGATCAGACTTTCTTTTTCTCTTTGATCTTCTTGCACATTCCTCAGGTTTGGATTGTGTCTTAAACATAAGCCTTACACATATTTAAATATGATATCAGGGTTGCTAAATACAGATAGGGAGACGTTGGTACTGCTTAAGATTTTGTCTTAATAAAATCAATACTCATATTATTAAGATAAGTTTTTCAATTAGGTCTGGAATCTACACTACGAGTCTTAACCCATTCTGATGAAACTTTCCGAAGGATTTGCTTACCTAGGTAATCAAACCATTCTAGCAAATCAGGGGCTTACTAGGGGAACCACAGAGTGCAAATGCTTAGAAATTACCTATTCCCTAATCAAGGTTGAGTGTTGAAAAAGATTATATGAAGGTGGAAGAGGATAGGTTAAGGATAACCTGGTCTCCTGCTAAAATAGAGGAATGGTTGGTTGGTAAGCATTAATCAATTTTAAATAGGGTGTTGGAAAAAAATTTAAATAACAGAACGTATTTCTGCAAGACACAGTTCTATAGTCATGCAGAAATGCTTACACTCTAGTGCCTGACCATCTTTCAAATAAATTATAAAATGAAAGTAAGTCCTTATCTTTGTTTCACTGCTGAATAAAAAGAATTATTATCATTTTCATTTTAAAGCATTAATCAAAATATCAATATCTTATAGATCATTCACACCGAGGGATTGTGGTGGATTGCTATGATGTTACTATATTTCCTGCTGAGTCAATAAAGAATACAGTGAGTAAAAAAGCAAAGTTGAAATCAACTCATGGAGAACTGATACATGTTGATAACCAATATAGTGCATGGTTTTCAGATTTGGCAGGTATACACACTAATAACACTAACTTCAAATATATCTTTTTTTAGTCATAACAAATTTTTATCTTTAGGTGGAAGAACAGAATATATAGTGACAATTGCATGTGTGATTGGAAGGTCCAGAATGAAAGGAGAGAGAATAGTAACAAATCTCCTACCATATCCACCAGAAAAACCTAGGTTTTTGAATAGTTTTTTATTCTTCATGATAAAGCTAGCTTGAAGAACTTAACAAGAGCTTCAATAAGAATATTAGATAAGATATTGATTATAGGGCAAAACTTTTTTTTAAATCTTGCTTGATATCCACAGAGGGAACTTTTTATTCAGCCATTAAAAGAGTTCTCCAAGAAAAAAGTTAGTTTCTCAAACCACAAAAGCTACAAGTTAAAGTGGTTTCTAAAGTGATCAGCAATAAAAAAGTTCTGACCTCCATTAATCTATTTAGGACTGGAATGTGTAAAATTACAGGAACCCATGAGGTTGAGATATCATGGGAGCCACCTAAAGGAGACTTTACTAAATATGTCCTTGCAGGAAAACTTGTTGATGCACCTCAATCCTATCTTAATGTTTTCTAATCCTTGATAAAGATCTGTCATGTTTTTCATTTGATTACAAAATTAGGTATTTTAGTTTATTAAACATAGAAATTTCTGTTAAAATTAAACGATAGCCCACAAACAACATTTTTCATATTTTAGGGAAATTTTTAAGGTTTTCAGAGTTCATTTGTTGTGCGATTTGTCAATTAAGAGGTCTCTTGCTGAAGTTTGTAAAGAGTTTCTTTTAAATACATAAATACTTAACTGTTTTTAAATCTCTAGTCTAAAGATATGATCATCAATTATGTGCATATAGTGGACCCTGTTCTGAAGTTTAAGAATGGAACAGAACCAGGACCTCCATCCCTTTTCAGAGTTGGAACAGAAAATAGGTCATAAAAGAACTGTACCTTCTAAAGGGGTATGTGCAAAAGTTGTTCAATCAAAGAAAACAATGAAAAAAACCCTCAAATTTAACTTCTAAGGGAAAAATGGATAGAAGGAAAAAATCAACAACAAAAACTATTTCATCATAAAAATCAGAATTGATACTACCAACATAAACCAGGCCCAATTTGTACCTAAATTCAGGAAAACCTTTTTTTTCAAAAAAAAAAGCAAAGAATGCAGGAAAAGAGTTATTGTATTTCTTATTTTTTACATTTTGAAAATGCATTTCTGGGAAATATGGCCATTCCCCAATTTAAAATGTAAAATTCTTTTTTTAATCTAAGATTGTTATCAAAACTATTCTGTAAATTCTTGTATTTTGAAACTGATTTTATCTTTAGCTTATCTTTCTTAGAATATGCTTACTCTAGGGGATATTTTGTCAGAGATGAATCTGGCCCTAACATTAAGACAAATGTAAGTGCATACAATGTCTGTATTCCTAATGATTACATTATCTTCCTGATTTGAACCATCTGAATCATTTAAAAATTTTCTTTATTTCATTTTGAGAGAATTTTTATCTCATGTTTTTACTTACAATTTTATGATCTTAGATATTAAAAGTTTTTATTTGGTTCTGAGCCAAATGAGTAACAATTCATGCTTGCAAAGCAGGTTTACTTTTATATTTCACAGATTTTTTTAAAATCAAACAAATCAAACATTTTTATAAATATCACTCGACAAGTGAATCTGAGTTTATGTATGTAATGCTTGGACACCTTACTGTTATATTGTATTTTTCCTTCATCAATTCTTATACAACTAGATACATGCATAAATAGTTAAAATAAATAAACAGTTCTTTAATCTGAATTAAAATAAATATACCTGTAGGGACGGTATGAAAGGGAAATAAGTAGCAAAATGACTGATTTCACCATAACCAGTCTTCTTCCAGGAGAAGCCTATAAAGTTGAACTAAAGACTAAGGTAAATTATAATAACCCTATCATTACTAATTCATTATTATTGTAAAAACTAATATTAATAGACAGGGGATAGGTTCACAAGACAATCAATAACAGAAACAGTTCTAACTAAACCTGAGAAAATTACTTCACTTACAGCATCTGAAATTTGTACAGGTAAAAAATACTTGTCATATTAAGTAAAACCAAGGGGCACTACGTTCAAGGTGTGCACTTTATTGCTTAGATAATGTAACTGTGAGCTGGGTTGCCCTTGAAGGACACTCTAGATTAAAAGCTTACAACCTCACATGCCAATCAAAGGTAAGGTGTTGTGATTATTATCAAGAAGTTTAGAAAAGCAATTCACTACCAAACAAACAGGGTTGAAAAACTGTGTTAATCATTTACTCATTCTGTTATTTTCTTAGTTTCAAAAATATTTAGATAAGACTCGTAGACAGGAATTCTAAACTTTATTGTTTCAGGATAACAAATTCCAAAGAGAACTGTCTGTGAAGCATAAGAGCAGTAGTCAAGTAAATTCCTTCCAGTTTGAGAACCTACCGCCTGCCACAGAACTATCAGTGATTATAAGCACGGTTTGTGTTTATGACAACCTAAAGAATACATCAGACGAAGAGAGGATTACCTTTATCACTTTACCACTGCCACCCAGAAACTTGGAGCTAGAATCAAGGTTATTAATTAATTATCAAAGTGACTTTGACCTTTTTTCAATTACATAGTGTGGCAAACGTTACACTTTTATAATTAAAATATTACAATTAGTACAGAAAGCCATCCCATTTGAATCCCTTCCATACACTCTACACTATATATAGACTTGGAATCTATTTTAATGTTTTTAGATTAACAAACAGTTTTGTTGTGAAGTGGGAGGCACAAACAGGGACTACAGCAGTGCACAAGTTCAAGCTTAACATTCAGGTTTAATTTATGAAAACAATATGTGTCAGGTAATGTTTAAACTGATTCTGGAGTAAAATTTTGATATTTTTGTTCTTTAGTGTACAGAGATTGGATATAGCAACACTTTTGAAGTGAATGGAGATAAGCGTACATTCAATTTTTCAAAACTTCCAGATGTAACAGGCACAGGTCAGTTTTTTAACAGTGATAACCAGAAAACTATAAAATAGGAAGACAACTCATATTATGACTTTAGATAGTCCAACTAGTATGAGACACAGCAATTGTGCAGTGTAACAAACCAATTTTACTTCATTAGTAATTTTATAAACTGTCTAGTAAAACTATTTGCTTTGTAACAAGATCAAATACACTATAAAGATATCTTCCTATTTAAGAGTTTTCTGGTTATCACCATCTGATAAAACATCATTTAAAACCAGCTTATTGTTAAAAAGGGTAAATTTTTCATGCTTGAAGGTAGGGCTGGGCACGTTCCGACTTTTTTAAAATTGTTCCGTTCCGTTATAGAACGAGGGCCTTCAGCTAAATCGTTCCGTTCTTGTTCCTTTTTTTGTATCGTTCCATTCCGTTCTGTCCTGTTCTGTTCCGTTCTGAGAAGAAGAACGGTCTTCTCGTTCCATTCTGTTCTTGGCGTTCTTATTTAAAGAACGGTTCCATCCCTCTCGTTCCTTTCTTAGTCAAAGAACGTTTCCATCCCCCTGTTCCGTTCTAAATATAGAACAATTACTAAAACTGGGTTACCTTAAAAAAGGGGGTGTACAATTTGTAGATTTTTAAAAAATATTTAATTTTCATAATCAATATATCAATAATATCAAAAAGATATAGAAATAAATTATAGAAAACAATTTCTTTCAACCTAAATTCTCCCCCCCCCTTCTCCTTTTTCCCCTTTCAGCTCCCATTCCTTTTCTCCCCCCCCCCCATGTCGACTAACCCCTGTATCCTCTTACTTAAGCTCGTACTTTTACCTAGCAACACATACTTACGCATAATTATATTCTTACGCTTTTATAACCGTATTTTTCCCCTTTTACCCCCCCCCCCTCCTTACTTTCCTATATTATTGTGTCTAATGTCATTTACAATCATTCTATCTTATAATTTCGGTTCATTATACATACAGAGAAAATCTGCACTGAGCTGAAAACTTTAGAATGGTGGATATCAGGATTTATGCTTAATCCACTCTTTTTCTTAATATCCAGATTAAATATAGCTTGTTTTCCTCATGAATTTAATCTTCAGAGAAGTCAACAGATCGGGATTAAGGATATCACATTCTAAAGTTTTCAGCTCTTGAAACACATTTTCCTGATTTAAAATGCGTTCTTGAAAATAAGAACGCGTTAACGATTTTAACCGTTCTTTCATGCAATTCCCGTTCCGTTCTTTTACTAATTGTTCCAATATTTTTAAGAACACATTCTTAGCTTTCGTGATTTTTTTTGGAAAGATGGGATTGTTCTTGATTGTTACTTTCGTTCTTGGGAAAGAACGATCGTTCCACCAGGAACGCGCCCAGCCCTACTTGAAGGGACCTATACATATTTATATATTTACATATTTATATATTTACATATTTATATATTTACATATTTATATATTTATATATTTATATATTTATATATTTACATATTTATATATTTATATATTTACATATTTATATATTTATATATTTATATATTTATATATTTATATATTTATATATTTATATATTTATATATTTATATGTTTATTTATTCATATATTTTATTGTTTGCTCACAAAAATGTTTAAATTAATTTCTTATTAGGAGTAATAAAATATTCATATCTCCCCTCCCCCCTCCACCCCTCCTGAAAATTTCTTAATCTTGCAGAGTTCATTTTAACGTTTAGTAAAGCTGTAAATTATTATCAAGAACTTAACAATTTTATGACAAACAAATAGTTATTCAGAAACTATTTGTTAGTTAATGAACCAGGATAATCAAAATGTCAAATTAAATTATCAAAAGATTAAAGAATAAAAATTTCTAAATAAGTACAAATTCTGAAAATACAAAATAATAATATGATTTTACAATAATAGGTAAGCTTTACAGCAACAATTCTTTGCAGGAAAGAACAAGAATTGTTTTTTCATTGATATTATCATTTATGAAAGAGATCATTTATAAATAAGGTCTGGAAAAAAAACCTTGAGACATTTCATAGATCTAGGACATTTCAATTATATGACAAAGATTATTGAGCTTTCTCTAAAGAAATATCAGACACAGAAAAGATTGGAGTATTTAATGAAATTTATCAGGTGTCAAATTTTTTCCTATTTGTTAAAATTTTGCTGTCTATGAATGTCCTGTCTACAAAATCATGCAATGTAGATCTAAAAGATGTCCATTTAATTGAATTAAATTTCTATATTAGTCCAATTCAATTAATTAAAAAAATAACTTTAGCAACAATTATGGTCCAATGTTGAACAAATAAAATTACTAGGGGTATAGATTTTGAAGAGATTAAAAACTTTGACATCAAGTGGCCGGTTGTATCTTCTTCTTGATACTTTTAAAATTAAAATTACTCCCAAACCATTCTTAACCAAAAATATTTTTGAAGAAGGGGAAGTGAAAATAATTGATACCTCTTAAAATATGAATAATTATGATTTTAGGAGAATGTTACTCGGTCAATATCTCCTACATTGTTCACCCTCCAGGTTCAGATTCAGAGGTCAGTTTCAGGAAGGACAAGGAATTGGTAACAGCAGTTGAAATAGGAAGCATAGATCCAATTTTAGGTTTACCATTCTTACTTTCAGCATGCATAAATAACACTTCTCCCCCCCCCCTTATATTATACCATATCATATGTTTTCTAAAAAGATATCTTTTTTAACATTTTTTTAAATTTAAATTTTTTATAAATTATAATATTACACAAAAATTCTTTTTTTATTATTCTTGTCATCATTTTTTCCTCCTTCATTCTCTATTTTCTTCTTTGGATGACTCTTTTATTACATACCCTGTAGCCCATATTCTAAACAGACTTAGCATTTACTACTACTACTACTATTTAAAACCTCCAATTTCAACATCAACCAAACTTTGAATGATGAGTCAGACTTTTTAGAGGGGTAGGGGGCGGTTCAGAGGGGGGCCCCCCAACCCAAGCTAAAAGTTGAAAGCTAGACTGGGAGGAAGGGGGGAGGGTGAAATGAGGTGAAATGTTTGATTCACAATGATACCCTTTTAATCTGTTTTGAGTAATTGTGATTTTTAAAATGTCCTTCTTTGACTCTGCAGCCTTAATCAACAAGTCAATTTCGAACAGAAACCACAATTGAAGAAAATAAACAACTCATTAATAGTAAAATCCTTAAAAAGGGTTGAAAGGTACTGATGCCACTCTATAGATGAATCGTCACTTGAAATTTCATCTACAGCAAATTAAATATTGAAAGAATGATATGAAGTCTAATAATGTGTTATGTACAGTATAGGCATGTCTTCACCTGTGCCATTTATAAAAAAAAATAATAAAAACATATTAGCATTTATTTTGATATATAGGTTGAATCTGCAGTAGTTTCTGGTCACTTCTACACGAAACCTCTTCCACCCAGTCAAATTAAGCTGGGACCAGGAAACCTTATTAGTTGGACTAATTCACTATCAAAAAGTGTGAGGTAAGAATTCTTAATTTATTAAAATTCTCATAACCTAGCTTATTTAGTTTGTATAAGATGAAATATAAGAGTACATAGGAACCCTTTAACCTTGTTTAGTTTGTATAAGATGAAGTACAAGAGTATATAGGAATACTTTAACCTGGATTAGTTTGTATGAGATGAAGTATAAGAGTATATAGGAATTCTTAAATCTTGTTTAGTTTGTATAAGATGAAGTATAAGTGTATATAGGAACCCTTAAACCTGGTTTAGTTTGTATAAGTTGAAGTATAAGAGTATATAGGAATCCTTTAACATTGTTTAGTTTGTATAAGATGAAGTATAAGAGTATATAGAAATCCTTTAATCTTGTTTAGTTTGTATAAGATGAAGTATAAGAGTATATAGGAATCCTTTAATCTTGTTTAGTTTGTATAAGTTGAAGTACAAGAGTATGGATGATGGAGGGAAATCTGAAGAAATCTTGATTCCTGCAGATCCAGGAGTAGATACATCCTCTACACTATTAAATGTAAGACTCTTAGCATTATTTTAGTCACCGGCATTGAACGAGTTGAGTTGCAGGATCGATTCACAACAGCGGGTACCATTCAAACATTTGTAGAAGGATTTGTTAAACGTCGCGTCACTTGAAATTATTTCACTACCGTTTTTCAAAGTTTCTTAGAGTTTTCCATTTTCATTTATTAGTTTGCGTATTAAAGTCTGAAGTACAGACCCTGAAATTTTGAACACCCTCCAAGATTTTTATTAACTTTGATAATTTATTTTTGGATAAGGGGTGTGGGCACAAGCTCACGCATACAAATAAAAACGAAATACCTATAAATCTGTATCCAGTTTGTTATCAAAGTCTTTCTATTATTTTGTTTTGCTCAAGATCAGTTAAAAGTCATTCACCCCAACGTTTTGTGACACCCTCCAAGATTAATTAAATACTTAGACCCTGATATTTGGAACACCCTACAAGATTAATATCTATGGTCTTCTGGAGATCAGTGATCAGGAGAACCTTGAAAGCAAAGAACTTCATGAGAAGATTATTCTGGTAAAGAAAATTTAAGTTATTTTTTAAAAATATTCTTTAAAACTTAATACTTATGTTTTAAATAACAATTTAAAGCGACTTTTTTGTCAATTAATTATAACCAAAAATTAGCAAAAAATGGATCCTTTTTTTGAAGACATTAAAGAACAATTTAAAAATCGACAAAAAAGTCAGAAAATTCGCAATTTTTAAATTCTTTTTTTTCAGACTGACTCTGGGTTAGTTGTTTACCATGAAGACCAAGAAAGACCTGGTTCAAGTCTATCAAGACAAGTCAGTCAGACCGCAATGTGAACTTGTACAAATTGGATATTCACGAGATGTTAGATAAAATCCTAACATTTTCTTTGAATTATCAAAATTTCAAAAAGATTTCGTAATAACGAACATTTTGTTTGAAATTATTAACAGACATGGATATCTCACACAAATTTCTGTTTTTCTAACATTCTCTTCGCAATTTCTTACAAAAAAAATCCGTCAGTTTGAACTGTTTAAAATTTTGTGAACAAAAACTACCAACATTGAAATCGTCTTTAATCTGTGACAACAAAAGTATTCATGTACACAAAATTTGTTGACTCCTGGGAATTCCTAAATGTGTATTACAGTTTTTGTATTTCATACATTGACGGAGAAAATGGATTTTATTATTTCAAAATATAAACAAAATATTACTTAAGAGAACACCTAAACATCTTCTTTTATCTCTGAAGTATTGCAGCATTCTTGAAACAATAACCATTTATTTTGTATTTCTAGAATGTGGTCTGACTTTTTAAATATTATGAAAAGCTAACTCATTGCATTGACTCATTGTTGTTAAAAACAAAGACTATCTTTAAAACGTAAAGTGTGAACATGTTGAACATGGACAAACTAATCTAAAGTGCTTTAGGATTATTATGTACAAGTCAAGGTATACCTGCCCATATCTATCATTATTATGTACAAGTCAAGGTATACCTGCCATATCTATCATTATTATGTACAAGTCAAGGTATACCTGCCATATCTATCATTATTATGTACAAGTCAAGGTGTACCTGCCATATCTATCATTATTATGTACAAGTCAAGGTATACCTGCCATATCTATCGAATATAAAACATTTTAAGTATTTGGGAAGGTTTTTTGTATAATTTAGATCTCACATTAAAAATATAAAAATGAAATAGAAATTACACTATTTAATATTTTTACGGCTGAAAAAAAGAAATAGAAAATGTAAGGGTGTCAAAACATTTTTTGATAACGATGTTAAACCTCCAAGATGAAGCTGAACCATTCAGGAAAATTAAATGCTAAAATTTCGAATTTGAGAACTTAAAAATTCGTGTCTCACTTTGTTGAATTATTTGGCTCAAAATTTATTATATATTTATCTGTTGTTCTAATTATTTCTAAATCTATTGATTAATTCATATAATATTCAAGAACTTGCAAATAAATAGAAACATAAAAAAAATATATGCTGCTGTATTGAAACTAATGGCTAATTATAGAATGATTCCAAAATTAGAAAGATTTGTTTAAATAATCACATACGGTGCTAGGCGAAAATACCAATATAATGAAGACGACTTTACATCAAGCATTCAAACTGCATGACTACAAAAATAATGGAAACAAAGAGAAGCTTTTAATTTATATAGGCTTTTCTTTAATTAGATTTAATTAGATGTAAACTTGTAATTCGAAAAAAAGCTTGTTAACAATGAAACTTAAATGAAAAAGTCATCTTTTTATTTTATTTTATTGATATTATCGCCTGCCACCGTATTGAAATACATCTGGGATATTCTCTCTTGTGGATTGAAGACGACCTACAATTGGATCATCCGAGGGGAAGCTTAGTTGATTGAGTGAATTCAGCCGTAACCATAAATAAATCAACATTAAATATTATTGAGCGTTTGGATAAACCCAGTAATGGGCCGAGTTTAGGAGGGCTGGGAAATTTCCGAAATTCCTACAGGTATTTGAGGGTGGTATATCTTTAAGATTTTGGAAATTTCTCAAATGACTGAATATTTAGGGAATTTTCCAGAAACCAAGGCATTTGGGAAATTTCCCAAATTACAATACATATTTAAGGGTGGTATATTTTTAAGATTTTGAAATTTCTCAAATGACTGGTTATTTGTTGAATTTCCCAAAAACCTAGGCATTTGGAAAATTTCCCAGATACCCAGGCATTTGGGAAAAGAAAAGAAAGAAAAGAAAGAAAAGAAAGAAAAGAAAGAAAAGAAAGAAAAGAAAGAAAAGAAAAGAAAGAAAAGAAAGAAAAGAAAAAGAAGAGAAGAAAAGAAAGAAAAGAAAAGAAAGACAGGAAAAGAACAGGGGCGGAAAAGTCATGTTTTTTTTGTCCGTACCAAAAGAGTGTGCGTGTGTTGTAAGGAATTGAAAAGTTGTACTGTAGGAACTGGAGTTATATATACAGTACATAAGAATCTTGGTATTTGTCAAAGTAAATAAATAATAAAGTGGAACAGACTAAGGCAACGACGACAGGTTGGGCCATAAGGTTTTATTTGCTTTGGAAATAATTGCATGAGAAGATTTCTTTTAGAAAGTAAAGACTAGAAAAAATAGACTAAGGCCCCATGTAAATGTCGTCTTCAGCTAGAACTTCAAAATTTTCAAAATCAAAAATAAAATATTTTCGTATGTTTGTATGTGTTTTATATGCAAATACTATATAGTCGCTTAGTAAATTCATTGATTTTGCCTGGCAGGGTTACACTTCTAATTCTATATCTATAAGAATTTATCTTTAAAACTGCTTAGTTTTGTTTTGCCCCCCTCCCCCTAAAAAGAAAAAGAAATGTAATCCCTTCCTGAGAAAAAAAAAACCTGAATACGCCTCTCTTAATATCTTTAAAGCTATGTCTAGTTCTCAACTACTCTTAAATCTGTCAAAATACAAAAGTGAAGACCAAGAGATATATTTCGAAGATCTTTATTTTTCGATATCACAAATTGTGCATTCCTTGTTTTACAGATTATGCATGCAGGCATTATTGTGCTGTCTGAAATTATTTATTGTGCAGTAAAATGGCAAAATTCACTTCTAACATCTTACGTTAAAGGGAGTGTTCGCGAAAAATGAAAGGGGGTATAGGCTTAATGCGATAAAAAAGCGCTTTTAATAGCTACTAATCTTACTTCAATCTGTTGCGTCTATAAGGAGAAAATGGTTAAAGACGTCTCATACCGAATAACATGGCGCCCATACAAATTGAGAAAATTGCAACATACAACTTAGACCGTAAACAAATCAGTTTAATTTCAAACAAATCATTAAGATATTACAACCTATAGTCATCGATTATCTTTCGCCACATTTATATATAGTTGATTTTTCATAATATGTTTTAATTGTTATGATCTGAGAGTTAAATATAAAAAGATTTATTCCTGTTTCTAGGATTTTTGGTAATGAAGACGACACTTTCATAATTTCCAGGAATGTTCGAAAACAAGTTGTAAGCTAAATATTATTTTAAAAAACAAAATCAAAACTAGTATGAAATATC